TGAAAGAAAAAACAAACACAAAATAAAAAAAATGTTTGAATTACTTTATTTTATTTTTGCAATGATTTCAGCCCAATCAAGGTGATAATGCCAATAAGACGCAACGAAATGAAAGAGAATGAGAAAAATTTAGTGAAGAAAATGGCCAATAAAAGAACAGGATTCAGGAAAACAGAGAGAGAAAAAAAAAGGAAACTTGTTCTTAGAAAGACAGAATTTGGCGATTGGTGCTGCATTTAATTTTTTCAAGATTGTAAATCACTAGGAAGCAAGAAACCTGAAGAATGTTCCACAGATGAGAAGTGTGGGAAAAGAAAATATTAGAATAGAACTTAGGATTACATCGAACAAGTTCAACAGTGATTGACAACGATGAATCTTAGTTGACAATCTAGTATTACATCTAAATTTATGCAGTCGAGACATGAACGAGTAAAGCTTATCAAAACAATTGCCATGAAAATTCTTATAAAAAAGACAGAGGGGAGCCACGTCACGTCGGTGAGAAAGTGACTGAAGTCGAGACGCCATGTCAGGATCGATTATATTACAGACACTTCTTTGGATTTTGTCAAGAATTTTGAGATATATAGCAGGAGCACCAGACCAGACCAGACATGACAACAAGATTGAATGCACGGGCGAATGGTAGATTTATAAATGTGCAAAATGGTTTCTAAAAAAAAAAATTGTCTGACCCGACACAGTTAATCAACTTTTCTAGGAGCAGATTATTAGCGGCTCTGCAAGTGTGTGCGGAACAGCAAATCCTCAATCCCTTCTCTATTCAATCAACTCGAAGTCCTAACACCCACGGCTGATAAGGTTGAATGATTTGTTCTGAAATTCTCATCAAACTCAACACTTGACTCATCCGGTGTACCCACACCTGATTTTCCCCCTAGATCTGAGGCTCTAATGAGTGAAATGTACATAACACCATTGATGGTATTGGACATCATCTCTAAATTAGACACTCATAAAGTAAGTGGTGGTGACGGGACACCAGCCGTAGTCCTAAAGAAATGTGCTCCTGAGCTGGCTCCTGAGCTGGCTCCAGTTCTCTCCAAACTATATAACTATTGTCTCACTGATTCTTGCTTTCAATCCTCTTGAGGTTCTCAACAAAATCTAAAGACGGATATGCAATGTGATCGGTCCTGACTTGGGAACTCGACTGCAGTCAATTTCTCACAGTGGCTTCCTTCTGTCTTTTCTACAAATATTTTCATGGTGACTGCTCTGACGAGCTATTTTCACTGGTGCTCTGACTACATAAATTTAAGCGTGCTACTGGGTTGGCATTTCGGTCCCAAACAGTTAAATTTGACCGTCTCTTCTACTCCAACAGTTTCTTCTCTCGCACTTCCAGACAATGGAACTCTTTCCCCTCTTACTTGCTTCCCTGATAATTATAATCTTCAAAAATTTAAATGTAATGTCAATCGACATTTTCTGAGGCCTTGATCCCCGTTCTTCTTTTATTCCTTTCCTCAATCTCCCCTATACTCAGTCTTTTCTCTTACTTTTACTCTCCGTAAACCCTTGCGCATTAGTGGCACTCTCGCCTTGCTTGGGATGAATGCTTATTAAAAAAAAAGATCTAACAATTAATTTAATATAATCACTTCACTTCATATCAGTGGAAAAACTTCAGCCCAAGAAGGAACAATGAGTTGCTCTTTTTGATGTTAACCTCAGCCCTGCTGATGGAATGCAGAAAAGATTCTCTATGATGATTAAATCATAGCAATTTTGTTTTGGCAGCGTTAAAATTTACAAGTCATTCTTTGCTCTAGTTAACCACTGATTTTCGAGAGCAGTTATCAGTTTTACTTTGTCGGGCCTATTGGACTTGCTAGTAAGACAGGAGTAAATAGTTGTGTCACCCGCATAAATAACTAACTGAGAACCTATGACATCAGGCAGGTTGTTGATGAAGATAAGAAACAACGTAGGTCCAAGGATAGAGCCCTGAGGGAACACCGCATTACCGTGAAATGATCTAGAAGCGTGTCCGTTCAACATGATCTTCATTACATGATTTGTTAAGAAAGACTGGATTACTACGGTCAAATATTCATCCAGAAACACCATGGCACTTGAAGAGGGCCACGATGCCTGTCAACTACCTTCGGGATATATAAAGCCACAAACCGAGCCTTGCCGCTCTTATCTAAAGCCTGATAGACAAATTCAATTATAATCGTTAATATATCGACGGTATAGAGAAACGAAAGCTATACTGATTATTCGAAAAAAAGGCTGTGTGAAATAAGATGCTAAACCAATTCGTTCTTGATTACAGCCTGTAGTTCTTTGCCAAAAAGCGATATATGACATAATAAAGCGATAATTCGATGGATTAGAAGGTTCACCTTCTTTATGTACCGTATCCCTTCGTAGGTGATCATGGCTCTCCACTATTTCTTGTCCCTTGTAGTAATTAATAAATTTTGTCTTTTTGTTGTTTCTCATAAACCTTGTTCCGTCATCCATTTACTCAAGCTCACTATGTATGTTATACGTTGTTTTCCTCTTGTCTTTAATCTGTCCTGTGAGTATCAGATTTTCCAAACCTTCTTTCCTCACTATGTGCCCTAGAAATTTCAACTGTCTCTTACTGATGTTAAGTATAAGTTCCCTTTTTGCTTTCATTTCTTCTAAAACTTCGTTGTTGCTCACATAGTGTATAGTAGGGCACCTCGAGACGGTGTAATGGTTAACAAGCTTGTCTCGCTAGAACAATTACGATTTAGTAGTGAGTTCGATTCTCACTGGGTGCCCCCTACTATCGGTCTTGTGCCACATCTAAGCTACGCTTGGAAAATCACAATAATCTGTGTATGGCATCATCAGCATCCTTCTGTAGAACCATATTTCTGTTGCTTCAAGTGTCTTCTTCATCTTTGAGGAGATTGTTCTGCATTCACTGCCATAAAGGAGGATTCAAAGGTATCACAGTGCAAAAGCATATTAATGGACTATCAAGTAAAGATCGAAATTGTGCTCCTAGTTCCTTAATACATTTGCATCTTTAAAACCTCCCTTAATACATTTACATCTTTAATACATCCCTTAACATATTTACATCCTTAATACATCCCTTAATACATGTACTTATTTAAAACCTCCTTTAATACATTTACATCTTTAAAACCTCCCTTAATACATTTACATCTTTAAAACCTCCCTTAATACATGTACATCTTTAAAACCTCATTTAATACATTTACATCTTTAGAACCGCCATCAATACATTTACATCTTTAATACATCCCTTAATACATGTACATCTTTAAAACCTCCTTTAATACATTTAAATCTTTAAAACCGCCCTTAATACATTTACATCTTTAATACATCCCTTAATACATGTACATCTTTAAAACCTCCTTTAATACATTTACATCTTTAAAACCGCCCTTAATACATTTAGATCTTTAAAAACTCCCTTAAGACGTTTACATCTTTAATACATCCCTTAATACATATACACCTTTAAAAAAAAAACTTAATACATTTGCATCTTTAATACATACCTTAATACATGTACATCTTTAAAACCTCCCTTAATATATTTACATCTTTAAAACCTCCCTTAATACATTTACATCTTTAACACATCCATTAGTACATTTAAATATTTAATACATCTTTAATACACTATCTTTACACTATAGTGGGGTCCACACTTCTCTTATTTTTCATTTAAAAAAGAAAAATTATAAAAACTATAACATTTCTAGTCACCCCTTTTATTCCAATCAATCAAATGTAAATATTTAGAAGGGCAGCATAGTGTAACAGCAAGTTTGATTTTGTCAACCAACTTGTTCAACTGAATTGCTTCATTTATTATCAGACTCCATTACTGTGTACCTGTGGCAGACAGGATCAAATTAAGTAAATCTGTAAAGTAATGATTAGCAATTAGTCTTGCAAACTGTTTCTACCTCATTTATTTTGATCGTTACTGAGGGCCCCATTCTCGTAGCTTTGTGCCAGGATAAGCTAAGCTAAGCTTTGGAAATATAGTGACTAACCGTGAAGCGCTGGTTTCCAAACTAGTTTCAAATGTCAATGTGCAGAAATAGGGCAGAGGGTGCGACCGTCCCGGGCATCAATATTGGGTGGGCATCCAATCAGAGAATGAAATAAAAATTTAATTTATATTTAATTTGAATAAAGTGTTTGTTGCATGTTTCATCTGTTTTTACATATGTCTTTCTTTCTCACATTTCTCAGTACGAGGCTTTATAGGCCCCCCTCCTGTATGAGTATTAAGGACATGCAATCAAGGAGTTGGCCCCCGGGCATCACCAAACATCAACAAACCACTACACGTCACTGCTGAAGTGAGTGTGATCTTAACTGCGTGCTCCATTCTCGTGGCATTGTGCCAGACTAGAACACAGTAAACATTGGGTGCCTGACTATAAACCAATATAACCATGCTAGTCTCGCAGACTATTACAAATCAATTGAATTTGATCCTCACTAAGTGCTCTCTGCTTAAAACCTTAAGTTAAAGTAAGTACTATCAACTCTATTGGAAGTTCAGTCCTTATCAACTCTGTATTGGAAGTTCAGTGCTCTTAATTGTGGCCTTGGACCAAACTCAAACGTGAAGCAAAGTGGACCAACAATAAAGACAGGGAGTGAGTTTGATTCAAAGAGAAAAAGAGGAAGAGGTGACGAATAAGAAGAGAGATGCGAAAACGAGGAGGAGGAGGAGGAGGAACAGAAAGAGGGTAAGTGAAATAAAGAAGAAATGAAAGAAAACAGAGATCGTATCCAAAAAAAACAAGAAGTGAAAGGAGATTAGGCGATGACAAGGGAGAGTGAAAAAAAAATGGTCGAATAGGAATTGAAAAGGGAAGAACAAGAATCAATTAATTAAAATATGGAAGAAAATAGATAGCCGGTTGATTTTTTTTATAGATACAGAACCATATGATGGATGGTCGGCTGGAAGGGTGGGTGCCTATCCCATCAAAATGTCTGCAGTTCGACAGCCAAGTAGTCAGTCAGTGGCTGCAATCGACAGACATTGGACCGCGCACGTGCGTGCGCACACACACACGTGTTTTCTCTCTTTGTCATTTACTTAGATATTTGTTGATGGTGTAGTGTAGTGTATATTATTAACCCAATCTACTAATACAATCGAATACTTGTAAAATCTTCGATACCAAGGAGTTTGTTAAACATTCGTGCAGGTCACAGTCACGCGCTCAACGCAATTGACAGAAACAGCAATTTATTTATTTGTCGTCTGCTAAACATTTAATTCATTTTTTTTTTTATTTTGGTTTGTTCCTCTGTACGTTTTAAGTCAATACTTTTCTCTATTTTTCTTTCTTTCTTTCTTTCTTTCTTTCTTTCTTTCTTTCTTTCTTTCTTTCTTTCTTTCTTCTCCGCAAACTTTTCTTTTCCGGCTTTTTCATTTTAAAAATTTCATTTCAGTCAACATTTTTTTCTCTTCTCTTCACGTTTCTCACACACAAATCAATCTTTCTTTCTTTCTTTCTTTCTTTTTTTCTTTCTTTCTTTCTTTCTTTCTTTCTTTTGTCGCCTTTTTAGTCATTTTTTTACAGATGTCAACCCTTTTTCTCGCCTTTTCATTCCCTCTCCCTGCGTTACAGTCTTCCTCTCTCTCTCTCTCTCTCTCTCTCTCTCTCTCTCTCTCTCTCTCGTAAAATCCACAATACCAAAGTTATTTGTCTGTCTGTGATTAGCAGACAATAATCAGAAACTTGCAACCAATGCTAGAGGTCAGCTTTCGAGCTCTGGCAAAAGATTTTTAAGATTTGCTTTTCAACAAAAGAAGGCTTTTTGTTGAATGCCGATGTCATATCTACTCGAGAAAATTATTATTCCGCGATCTCCTCGAGAAATAATTACTTTCAATTCTTTACAATGTTTGCAATACCCGCGAAATCTATCTATCTATCTATCTATCTATCTATCTATCTATCTATCTATCTATCTATCTATATCTATCTATCTATCTATCTATTTAAAACTAACCTCGCAACTGAGAAAGCTGCGTGTATTTCCCACTCGTGTCAGTGGTTAATATTTAAGTGCGGTAAAAGCTATGATAAAAAAAAAAAAAAAGAAACAGGCACAGAAGTTTTCTTGGCGCAATGCAATCGTTCTTCCTCTATTTGGCCTTGTTCTGTGTAGAGCTAAGTTTCATAAATATCTATTATTTTCGCCTTAAAAAATTCTTACAAGTCTTTCAAGACTTTCAATATTTAAGAGATCTATCTATCTATCTATCTATCTATCTATCTATCTATCTATCTATCTATCTATCTATCACCTGCGTTGTTTTGCCTTTTCTACTACCATCAGAATTACAAATACTGATTTTAAAGATAGATATACTTTCGCCATGTGGAAGATAGTGGTTCACATTTTCTACGCCCTCGTTTGACCCTGTGTCACACTAAGATAATCTTATTCTTTATCTCTCTCTCTTTTCCAGCACACACACACACACACACACACACACACACACACACACACACACACACACATATGTATATGTATGTATATATATATATATATAAAAAGTGTGAGAGAGGCATACATTGTTCCTGCATCTGCAGATTGATTTTAACGTGAAATTTACAGAAATACTTATGAGTTTGTAAAAACCTGGATTTTAAACGATTTTGAACACGATTTAAAAAGCCTTAATTATGTATCGACTTTGTCGTGACTCCATCTCTGATATTGAACACTTCTTAAAAAAAACATTAGGTTGCATGCATTATCATTATTAGAATATATATATATATATATATATATATATATATATATATATATATATATATATAGTGAGATAGATAGATAGATAGATAGATAGATAGATAGATAGATAGATAGATAGATAGATTAGAGATGAACATGGATAGTTAGATAGATAGATATCAATTTATCGAAAGCTCACTTTCACCGTTCTCCTTTGTCAATTTTTTCTCTTTCCTCTTTTCGATTTCTATATTCGATACTTCTTGTCTTCTGAAAGTCAGATATTAAATTTTAATTTCTCTTTCCTCTCTTTTCGCTTATCTTTCGTCTCTTTATTTTTATCTCTCTATCTCGCTCACAATAATAATAATAATAATAATAATAATAACGATTTTTTTCTTTTTATTACCTTTTTACTTTAATTCCTTTCAGATGGTTTGCTCTGAACACTTTCTTCGGAATTTACCTTTCGAGATTTTTTTTTTCTTCCAGTACCAGCACTCTCGGGTGCGCTTGCCGTAGAGTGATGACGATTAAGGTGGTCTGGAAAGCCATTTGCTGGCCAAGAAGTGACTTCTCACCGGGCACTTCAGTACGGAGAAAAATTAAGCACATTGGAAATAAAGCCTTTATTTCTTCTCTTTTTTTTTTTTTTTTTTTTGATCCATACCATTTTCTTTTCGTTCTTAACTCTCTCTCTCTTTCTCTTTCCCTCTCTCACTTTGGTTCTATCCACTCTCTCTCTCTCTCTCTTTCTCTTTCTCTATCTCACTCTCTGGCTCAACTAGCTCTGTTATTTTTTTTTAGTGAATTTACTTATCTCATTTTCCTCTCATTCACTCCCGTTCATTATCCCTCTTTGTTTCTTTTCTAACTTTTTTCCTGATTTTGTCTTTTTTATTTTCATCACACACACACACAGAGAGAGAGAGAGAGAGAGAGAGAGAGAGAGAGGTGCGCGCACACACACACATATATATCATGATCTGTTCATCTCTCTCTCTTTCTATCTATCTATCTATCTATCTATCTATCTATCTATCTATCTATCTATCTATCTATCTATCACGATCTGTTCATATCTATCACGACCTGTTCATATCTATCTATCTATCTATCTATCTATCTATCTATCTATCTATCTATCTATCTATCTATCTATCACAATTTATTCATATCTATCTATCTATCTATCTATCTATCTATCTATCTATCTATCTATCTATCTATCTATCCGTTTTGTTCCAAAGCCATGTAAATTTCTTCTTTTCCGATTCTCTTCCTTTCTACTATTTAACATTTTCCATGACTTCTCCCACTCTTCTTTAACTTATTCGATCTCGATTTCTTAGCCGTTTCTTTCTTTCTTTCTTTCTTTCTTTCTTTCTTTCTTTGGAAAAAAAAAACAAACTTTTTACACTAAATCATCATTTTTGTCTTATCTTCCCTTTTTTTTCTTCTCCCCTACTTTCTTTCTTGCTTTTTATCTTAATTCCCCGATCCCTCATTATCTATCTTTTCACTTTATCTCTTTTGTTTTACCTCTGCTTCTTTAGCCCTCGCTATCTTTGACGCTTCCCTTTTCTAGACTTTTCTACTTTTACTTTCACTTTCTCCCTATACGTATACAGAGTTTATAAGCATCTTCAACTTTCGCTTACAGTCTACCGTCTACCGATGCCACTGCTACCGTCACTGTATCGTCTTTTTCGTCATCGTTGTCGTCGGCTGCTGCCTTATGTGCGGTGGCTCTTTCTTCATCTTACCTTCTCTTGGGCACAACGGCTTTACCGCTCGGGCGTTCGACATACTACTCAGCCGCGCACACGTACACAGCGAGTCAAAACCAAAGCCAAACACCAACCCATCCATCCGTCTTCCACCAAACCTAAACCACAGTCTCCACTTTACTTTTCCTTCAAACCAACATATCTCTTGCTCAACTCAGTCGGATCCACGTTCACTTAAACACTAGGAAGGAACACAAAAGCGAGCAGTTAACTAACTCTACTCTGTGTGCAAAGGAACGTTTTTTCCTTTACGAATACTGGCCAAAGGTGAGCGACTTTGCGTTAAGTTTTTTCTTCTCCCTACCTAAATGTATTCTTCGTCTATACTTTTTACTTTGTCGGGGCCTAAAATCTAAGGTCTCTCTCTCTCTCTCTCTCTCTCTCTCTCTCTATATATATATATATATATATATATATATATATAAAGAGATGAGATATAGATTTTTTACAGAAAAATGTGTAAAAGGAATCATAATTTTATAAAGTTTATTCTTATATCGTTATTCTTAATTATTATCTTAAAGATATATTTCAAGACAACTGTTGGCACAGTTGGAAATATAAGAAAACCCTAGCGGCAATAATTTCTAATCTTTTTCGGGTTCTATTCCTTATTAAACCGGTTCTCTAACTTAAGAATTATTATTCCAGACAAAACTTTTGAATGTCTAGTACAGTTTCATCAATTACAAATAAAAATTCTTTGTATAATAAACTCTTTATTCTATAAGTGAGCTTTTCAAAAAATATAATGGTTAACATGTTTGTTCTGCTTGGAGTCTCAAAATACTTTCTCCAAAGAATTTTGAACTTCTTTTCTACTGGTCGATTTTATTTTTAATTTTTGTTCTTTTCTTTTTTGCGACTAATACTTTAAATTTGTAGAGTATAGAGACATGTGCATTTATCTCTTGTTATTAGCAAACAGTATTTAAAGAAATGGAGGGAAATTATTTAAAAAGAAATATTCCTAAAAAGAAGTTTTCATTTTGGCAGTGAAAGGAATAGTTAAAAAAAAAAAAAAAACACGTAAAAATGATTTATTTTTAATTTATATGAAGTCGTTTTCGCGGTTGATTTATATATAAAATCACTTAATAACGAAAAGCTATCCTTTTCGTGGTGATGAAGCTGTATTTTATTGTACGCACAGGTTTCGTTCACTTTCTTTGAGAAGATTTGAAGTTTATAACAAAAAGAAAATTGTTTCGCCAGGACACAAAAATTTCATTTAAAAAATTAGTTCTTTTCTTTTTTTTACTTTCGCAGAGAGATTGTCACTGATGTATTGGTTACCATTCTTTTACCTGTAGTTCACTTTTTGAACGCTGTCATTTTTATACTTGTATATCAACGTATATCTGATATAATGTGCAAAAAAAAAAAAAAAATTCCGATAGTTGATAATCCGCGCTGACCATCTTCAGTGTAAGTAAATTCAGTTTCTCTCTTTATACAGAGATTTTTTCCCGTTTTTTTTTTTTTTTTTTTTTTTTTTGGCAGCGAAAATTTTCGTTTTGTGTATAATTCTGGGATTTTTATTTATTATTTTTTAAAAGTCTTATTTTAAGTGAGACTAAAACCAAAGCACTATTTTCGTTTACTTTTTTGGTTTGTCTGTCACGTTTAGTGAAGTACTTCACCGTTTGGAAGAGTTTTTGAAATCAAAGTTTTACAAGCTTTCGCTCTGTGTGTAGATAATAATAATAATAATAATAATAATAATAATAATAATAATAATAATAATTAGAAGAAGAAGTAGAAGAAGAAAAAAAAGAGGCCGATGCATGTGCCTGTTATCAAACAAACTGAGTGTCATGATGGGTATATTGACCTTCGTATGCCTCAGCGTCTCTCACCCAATAATAATAATAATAATAATAATAATAATTAGAAGAAGTAGAAGAAGAAAAAAAAGAGGCCGATGCATGTGCCTGTTATCAAACAAACTGAGTGTCATGATGGGTATATTGACCTTCGTATGCCTCAGCGTCTCTCACCCAATAATAATAATAATAATAATAATAATAATAATAATAATAATAATGATCTGAGAAGGCCCTGGAGTTTCTGTTCTTTTGGGCTTTACCATTCACACTGACAGACATGGTGATTATTAAAGTCTCCAAAGAAGCAACACCACAAAC